CAACGACAAGGTTGCCTGTTGGGATAATTAACTTTTTCTTTTGTTCCCCAACAAAATCCCTAAGGATAATTAACTCTTTTTGTCTTTAGTTGGTGTCTTATCTCGAGAAGAAGCATCAAACTTTTTTGGTATTCCAAATAGATGTTATTTTTTACTCCCACAGATTGTACATCTCAGTGGTATCAGATATCCAGTGGATATCTTACTTGCCATTAGAGAAAGATATCGCATCGTTAATCTTCTTCACTAGAGTTAGTGAATAGATGTTAATGGTCCAAGTATTAAGATTATAAATAATTAGATCATGTCTCACTTCAAATCTAAGAAAAGTCATGCCTAATACATAGTCCAAGATATCTATATTTCTAACTCTGGTTTCTTTTTTTTTTTAGGTAAATAATTTATCAAAATTTTATTAGCTAAACTAATTAATACATTTCAAAATATGTCGGATGGGGATTTAAGTTTTTAATCTTTGATAAGTATATATGATGCACATCACTTAACCAATGTTTTAGATATAAAAACATAATCTTTAGGTCTAGTACACCATCATCAAAAAAATATTATTTAAAATATATCTTCTTGAATTTTTTTAATAATCTACATTAACCCTTAGCACCCTATTTTTTTAAAAAATAGTGTAATTTATACATCATAAATTTAATTTCTATACGGTATCATATTTCTTTTTTAACAAGTCACCACAACAATTCAATTCAAGCTTGCAAGGAAAAAAGATTTTTAATTTAAATTTTTTTCAAATCTTAATGTGTCTCTTGATAGATTATAAGATCACTAACTTTTTTGACACTTAAAAGATCGATCACATTCTAGGATAAACCTTTATGCTCTTCAAAGATATTATAATAAACCTTTATGCTCTCCAAAGATATTATAATAAACTATCAAAATTTTTACCAACTAAACTAATCAACAAGAAATGAAATATTATAAGATTTAAATAAGAGGGAGAGTTTTGGTTCTTAAGCCCACTCTCTTTTTCCTTCCCTAAAGGAAACGAGAATTTTCTATCATATACAGTATTTTTGTTCCAAAAGGTTGATAATAAAATGTAATATCTATTATATACTTAGTGCGAGGTCAAATTTTGATTGTTCATCTAACTTAAAAAGATTAAAGATGATCTAGTCCCTTCTGAATGTCATAAGCTTTAAGAATATTATAGTAAAAAAATATTACTTTAGATTGATAAGTGGGAGAGCATAAAGATTTATCCTAGAATGTGATCCTTCTTTAAGTCATCAAAAAGGACTTAAAGATAATTAAAAAATAGAGAATATTTAGCTATAAAACTTAGAGGGTATTCAAATATCTCTTTTTGTTCAAATAACATAGAGAAGACAAAAATTAAAACCTCATATGATAAATTTTATTCTTAAAATATTGATTAATGGTGGTACACCTGAACTACTTATAGGTTAGATGACCCAAATCCATTTATCCTTAGATTAAGGGTTCTAATAAAAAATTTATATATAAAAATAGTAGTTTGATTGTGGTGTACTTGACTAAATTATTATTTTTTAATAACAAAGATAAGAATGATATTGATGTAAAGAGAAAATAAAGATAATATAATATAGTAAGGATATGTTCACATAGAGACAAAAAGAGATAGATCAAAGCCTATGAAACAAAATCAACATACAAAATAGTAATATAAAGCAAGGCCTCATCAACAATCAGAATTAGAGTAAAAATCCCATAAAACGTCACCTCACGTGTTTTACTTGTCTTTTAGAGTGTGCGATGCTTTTCCGTATTGAGTTTAAGGTTGAAAAATGCATAATGTTAATCTTCCACCTTGGAATTATTAATCATATCAATACTTGTAAGGATATCATATCTATTATAGGTTATCATGATTATGAGACTACAAGTCATGATAGAAGGCAAGATATAAGAAGAAGCCTCACCTGTTGTGGGAACCTTGATATCATATATACTAATGTGAAAATAAAAGAGACAATTTGCTTAGGATTAGATGGCTCAGCAATCACCGGCCTAATATATCAACATATAGTTGATATATATATATATATCATCTTTTATCATAGAAGTCATTAGCATAGAAAAACCAATATCACGTCGTGTAGTTGGCACAAAAAGTAGTGAAGGGACCACCGAAGGTGAGATAGGATTTAGGATCCATTTAGTTGTATGTTTCCTATAATTCATAATAGTATGTCCAAAAATATTATAAAGGAAAAAATCTCATCAATTTTTAATTATACTTTAGCCTGACAACATAGTCTTTAGCATTATTAGGAGAAACGCAAAGGACATTAGAGAGATTTAAAGCAGTGGAAATCTCTAGTCATACTACTACAAATCTAATGTACTCCTTAGTACTGGTGAGCTGATCTATAAATAAAGGCCTCTGATAAATTTAAGAGTTTGAGGAATGTTAACTATTTTTACCATATCAAAATGATAGAAAAATCAATCTTCTGAATATCATATTCCTATGGTTGAAAAGATAGAGTTTGTTCTGAATATACTATAACCCAAAATTAAGCACTCTTGTAAGATAATCTCAGTCCCTAAAGTAGAATTAAAAAAAATCAACATTCAAAGAGAACTTTCAAGGAATCAAACAGCTTTCACGAGGTATGAACCCAGTTTTTAACTATGAGGAAAGGCATGAACCAGTCGTCTCACTTATATTAAAAGTTAAAAACTTTATCCTATAAATTTTGAATATGACAATTGATTTAATTGATAAAGATCTAACCTATTGATAGTAGAATTATGTTATCGAATCTTATCCTAACCACTTATTTTTTAAAATAAATTTTTTGTAATAAAAAATAAGTGGTATATTTTCTTATCTATCCTCTAATAGTTATTTTCATGATTACATTAATTAGATGAATTACAACTAAATGGATCCTAAATCCTGTCTCACCTTCATCAACGGTGGTCCCTTCACTACTTTTTGTGCCAACTACACGACGTGATATTAGTTTTTCAACGCTAGTGACTTCTATGATAAAAGATATTATATATATATATATATATATATATATATATATATATATATA